TCATATTTTAAACAATACATACTGATTTAAAATTTTGTCTTGCATGAATATTTTTGAACAATTTGTTAATCACCATTAGTCACATATTCAAAACAAGTTTTTTTCAAATGTAATAGTTAAATGAAAATTGCTATCTTCTGAAAATGAGTCAGTAAAGATTCAAAAATGTTTAAAAATAAATTTTTGTTCTTGTTTACTCCTTAACTATATATAAGTTATTACATCATAAAATTCAGTGTAATTTCTTATGTTTAACTTATACCCAAAACATACCACAAAAACTGTTATAACACAACCTGCACCTGTTTTTAAAATTTTGACTTTAAAACATGGATAATGGATTATATGAAAGAAATTAATTATGGTAATTAAACAATCAATGGAAAGACAAGAAAAATGTAACAACAGATGTGAAAACAAATGTATACATACAGAATTTTAATATATAATTATTATTTATTTTTATTACTACTATACGCACTAAAATTAGACCCACTGTAGATCTGTTTGTTTATTAAAATCTGCTTGGGGTGTGGGTTTATTTTTTTCAAATTTAGTTTTTGTATGTGTTGGTGTGAGTGGCCACAGGAGTCTTGAATGAAAACCAAAAAAGAATTCACCAAGCAAACATCATAAATAATTCTAAAAAGTAACAGATGACAAGAAATGTGATGCAATGATTTATACAATTACAATTATAAATAGGTTGTTTGCAGTAATCTGTAACTTGTAAATGTAATTTAAATAAATCCACATGTGGGTTTATTCAAGTCCTGTGGATTCAATTTTTGAATGTGACAGGGAAAGGGACTTATTCAAGCATTTGGTCTAATCAAGTGCATACAGTAGTATTTAACAGTTATTTTAAAATGCTTTTCTCATTCTAACTTTTTTTTTGATTGTTTGCTTATGATCTAAAAAGTTAATTTTTCAATACAATAAAATATTTTTAAATGTACTAAGATAATTATACAAAACAATTAGATATATAGGAAGTTTACAAACTTAACAAAATTTATGTAAGATTTTGTTTAGTTAATATGAATCTCAAATTTTTTATCTGAAAGCCAATGTTTGAATGCATTAAGTAAATGAAATAATTATTATTCAAACTGAAAAATGTAAAACAGGAAATTTAACAGTAAATGACAAAAAATATAATAAATATTTCAAATAGTTACTGATTCTTCTGTAGTTTAGCTTAGGATTGCTGATACATGTTACTTTTACAAGATAGACATATTTGACATAAACAAACATCACGAGACCCAATATATATTAGTAATATGCCAAATGACTGCCATATTAAATTGGGCTATTTCTCCATGATTAAGATCAATTTAATAAGGCAGTTGTTTGGCATATTACTAGAAAGGTTTTTGATATCAAAACTTTCATTTCAGGTTTGTCAAGCTAAGAAACAAAAAATAACACTTTAGAATGTAAAAGTTTAACTTTTTAAAGTAAAATTAATTTTTGACTTTGTTTTCTGTAGTTTTATAATTTATTTTCATTTAGTAGTAATATAACAAAATACATGTTGACCATATTTATTAATGAAGAGAAATTAATCCAGATAAATTCTAATTTTTTTTAAAGTTTTCAATTCTGACATAATAAATTAATGTCCTCAAGTGAGAAATGAAATTACATTATGAATTTTATTTGTTCAAGAAATTAAAGTTGTCTTACAGAGACAGCATGTTTATATAGATTATTTTTTTCCCTTATCACTTAATGCATTTTTTAAATAAATTCCCTTGCAGATGATGTGCAAAAGATCTGAAACTTTTGCATTAAACAGTAAGTGTATGTTAAAATATTTTGGATAAAAGTATATCTATGAAATTATTCATGATATTAATACAATAATAATTTATTATATTATTATTTATTTTTTAAGCATACTGGTACAACTATAATGCATTATTATAATATTAATTTACTTTAAAAAAATTTTTATTAATAATGAATGTACAGTAAACTCCATCTTATCTCATCTCATTTTAATCAGCTTCAATCAAGACTTTTTCTGCAAATATTCCAATGTTATATACACACACCACTCCACACCAGAATATATGTACAACAGACACAAAACCAACTTCTGGTGTGTATGATACAAAAAACAAGCACTGCACAAATGTTTTCCAACTCCTAAAGGATTCTTCTTCAGGTGTGACTGAAGAAGAACTTGGAAGAAGTTGGAAACTATTTGTGCACTGTTCATTTTTTTGTATCATACACACCAGAAGTTGGTTCTGTCTCTGTTGTATTTCCCATGTTAATTCTTGGGAGTGAGTATGGTACAGTACATGTAACAATCCTATAACTTTTATCATCTAAGTTAGTCTTTGCTATCTGTGCCATTTGAAGTGCAATCACTCTGTGTATACATGTTTTCATCATTAGATAATTTATTCCTAAACTATACTAATTTGAATCAATAGGCTGAAACAAGTGGAATTAAAATGTTAATAATTGAAATAAAACAAAGTATTAGAACAGACTGATAATGGATAACCAGATGTGTAAAAAACTGGAAGTCAAAATGGGAGTTAAATAATTTACAGAGAAATCAAAAATTCTTTTAAGACTTCATTATACATATAAAATTTTTAAAAATGCTTTCAGATATAACACTATAAAAAAGCCAAAAAATGAAGTCATCAATGACGCATTATGGTTATAGTTCATGCAATAACAAATATGAACACCTCTTAGCAAGCTGATTTTGGAAGGAAAGGCAGTGCACTTGGACAAGTCAACAGCAAAGATGAATTTTTCGTTAGCAAAAGATGGCTTTCATGATGAAAAGAAATGTCTATAAAATTCATTTTCTAAGAGTCTGCAATGAGGAATTTCAGCAGATCTACATTCTATAAGTGAAGTTTCCAAAAAGTTTTAAATGTTATACATAAGGAAAATATGAGTACCAGTATATCTACAAACAAGTCTACAATATGAAAGAAACAGGTTTAAATTTCAAGCTTATTTTGGTGAAAACACTAGCAGAACCACAAGAAGCATTTGCTACTGGTTTCAAAATCACTGTGATCCTTTGTAGAAATGCTGCTGAGAGTCAGACTCCTCTTTTTTGTTGTAGGAAAGTCAGCTGAACCAAGAACAGTTAAAAATGTAAACTTCAATGCTCTACTAGTTTATTACAAAATGCAAAAATCAGCTTGAATGGATTCTTTTCTAATTGAAGAATGGTTTTCAACTGAATTTGTTCCAAAAGTTTAAGCACATTAAATGCATTTAAAATTATTGTAAAAGGCTGTTCTTATTCCTGACAACGCTCCAATGCACTCTTTCAATCTATTTTCTGATGACATCAAGATGGCAGCTTTATCATCCGACGCTATATTGTAGGTACAACCTATGGATCAAGAAGCAATAGTGTAAAAAGGCATTGCAGAAAAATTCTTCTTTCAGAAATCCTCGAGAGAACTGCCAACGAAGAAACAAAACTCACCGAAGCCTTTAAGAAAATAACATTAAGGATATTACTTACATGTTAGTATTTGCTTTTGAGAAAATGCCTTCATTAATATTTGTAAAGTCATAGTGAAAAATATGGCCCGACATCAAAAAATTAATAATAAACTGCAATCTATACAAAGCAATAGACATCGAAGCTTTAACAAACCACATCATCATCATCACTCCGCTTAACGACTCGAAACAATCGTCGGGGTTCAAAGACGTAAAAGAAAGAGACATCTACTTATAGACAACAACATTCTAGAGAACGAAGCGTTAACAGACAATAAAATCACGACTTACACGTTAGCATCGAAGTAGTTGTACACGTAGGTGAAAAAAAATCAGAGAACACAGAAGCTACGAGCAGAGATAAAAACTACAAAAGAATGTCATATAGAAAGAGATCAAAGCTGCAATAAAATATATCAAGCAGCAAAATAATTTAGCTCCCATTAATAGAATCCTTACGATAACACGACACGATTTTGCAACAAAAAAAAAAAAGATTTTAAATCAAAAAGACAAATAAAAATTATCAATTTTTTTTAATCTAGGTAAATGTTTAGTAAACATATATATATATTTATTAAACATGGTTTATAATAATCTGAAGATTTCTATATTGTGAACATTTATTCTGAATACAGTGCCCGGAGAAATACAGTACCGAACTGGGTCCCATTCCATGGGACCCAGTTGAGTACAGTACACCCCCAGGCACAGTAATAATATTAAAAAAAAAAAAGAAAAAAGATTGAAAAAAAACTAACTCAAAAAATCATTATAATTTAGATTAATTTTAATTTATCATCAAATAAGCAAATTAAGCTTCATATTTAAAGTCTATTTTTAAGTAAACACGCCATCTCTAGCAAATAATAAAGTAAATATACGACGATATAGAGTACTAAACATATGATGATTTATAGGCGTATTGATCTTTTATATTCACTCTGTCATTTCAATATATTTCAAAACTGCATATAATTATTAACAAAAATTTAAGCACGAAGTTAAATAAAATGAAAGCAAAATTGTCAATTTAAGTTAATATATATTGCAAAGACCAAAAAAATTAAAAAACTGAATACGCTAAATCAATTAAAGTGGGGAAAGAATTTCTGCTGCAATTTTCACGATGTTTTGATTAAAACTTGTAAGAACATATTACAGACCGAAACCATCGCTCATATCAACGGTGTGAGTCATAACCAACACTAAGAGGACACGCTTAAACCGCGTATTTTATTTATAAAAAGTACGCCTTCGACCGAAGCCGAATATATTATTTAAAATTCCTGTCATTATCATGGGCGTATTGTATGCCCGCACGGTGCAAAAAATTACCGACGGAACAAAAATAATAACGGAATTACATAAAAATAAATAAACGTCGAGTGCCCAGTCCGATATCAATGCCGAAATAGACACCTTTATTTGAATGGCGGCGCATAAAGATCCCGTGCATTGTTTTGACTCTACAAGTAAACAAATATGTCGATTGCACTCACCTATTGCAAATTATAAAAACCTTATCGCTATAAATGATTTTTAATTAGCAAAACGATTTGAGACGGAACAGCAGCTGACAAAGCAACCCACAGACATAAGGCAGTGACGTCATCACATAGCATCGACTCCTCCCCAATTTTCAACGAATTATATAAAGTAATAAAATTATCGCCTTTCATTAATTATTAATACACGAAGTAATAATTTTAGTAAAAGTATAAATAACTTTTTAATATTAATGCTGGTTGGATTCGTAATAAGATTTCTGTGACGTAGCGGTGTCTATACGTGTTTTAGAGCGGTTGTTTCTACACGGATCTTAACGAGGATCGTTAGATTCGTTACGGATTACTCGCGGGTTGCAACTGTCACTTTGATACGTATATAATATTAAAGTGTAGAAATGAAATCGTTTTATATCACTAAAAATGATGGCAGTTGTACGATCCGCGCGTTCACACTACATTATTTAAAAAATCGTTTTTTCGTCAATTTTTCATTTTGAGTTTTTTCCGTCTTTTTTCACGCCCGTTCTTGGGTTCGGGCGGGTCGACGATGGGGCGAGGGACGGGCCCCACATAATAGCGGCGTACGGCCGTGAAAACTTTCGGGAATTCTTCGCCCGCTCGTATTCGATTCCGAGTTTTTTAGAACTGTAATGCTGGCCGCTTGGTCATCGGGCCTTCGTTATAAAAGAGTAAAATAACTGTAAATTTATATAATTGTTTATATTAAAAACTAACTTTCTACAGAAATTTTTTAATGCTTAAAATGAAGCGGAGAGACGAATGTGACTCTTGGAATTTGCGTTAGTTTATTTCCGTAATGAGTTTTTGATAATGAAAAGTTTTTCCAGAGAAATCGAACTAACATAAATTATTATTGTGGCATTGTTTATATTATAAAGATTTATGATAAGGATAGATACAGTAACGATTTATATATCTAAGAACAGATAGGAAATAATAAAATAATCATTTTACATTGATGCAGAATGAATGCTTTTATAAAAAAATGGTATTTAATTTCTTAAATAGTTAGCTATTGCTGTTTTATCTCGTATAAAAATCATTGACAGGTTATTAATAACTGCGATCCGTCGGTAGGCTATTGAGCCTGCTCGAGTTCGCTTCAACAACGTGGCCGTGCTGTAAGATATCCTATTGGATAGACCTTAGAGAGATTAAGTTTGAATTCAGTCAAATTTTAATATTTAATCATTGTTAGTTCAGATTATAACCGTTCCTTTATCCTTCACCTATGTCGATTTCATTATAAATGTTTCGGCGCCAGCCCAAGTCGGCCATTTGATTGATACGAGTTATTGTCAACAAATCAAAAAATATTTTGAGTGGTATTCCAGTAGGACAATTTTAATATTGCTTTTTTATATACATATATTTCCAATATTAAAATAATTATTCCGTTTTTAAAATGTTAAAGCCGGCAATGTGGTAATGTAGTAGTCTAAATCAAAAATATCTTTAAAATTAATAAAAGATGATTTGTAATTGTCCTAAGATTACATCAATTTCTTGAGCGTGTCGATTGACTTTCCCACAGTTGTAGTGAATTGGATGCCGTACGAGCCGGATTTCAAATAATTGTATTGTTACGGGATTCACCAATCTTCAGCGGATTACACGACCACTTCAATTTCTGAGTCAACAATTTCGGTCGACACGCACATAGGTTCTATGTTGCCAATAAACAGCGGTGCGAGATCTTTAACGAATATTGGTACTGATGTTAATTAATAATGGTTTTCATAGCAATGGCATTCATTTATTGCCATCCGATTTATCATTAATCTTGGAATGATATGTATTGATATTGCTAACATAAATTAAATAGAGATAATCAAATTTTAGCATACAAAATAATGCGCATGAAGATCTCGCTAACTTATATTTTAAAACACATTTTAAACAAATATGCTGTTTTATAATGCCTACTTTGTATAAATTACACAGTTTCGCCGCATAACGTTCTTTATTGTGAAATTTATATTATTATTATTATTGTATTAATAAAATTTGTAAGTTACAAACAAGGATCTGTAAAAGAATAATAATGTCTAAAACTTTATTTTAAAATTTTACACTTATACAACTTAGTATTTTTAAACTTGTAAATTAAACTATTAATTAAAAAATGGTGGCGTTATTAGCCTATATTTATTTCAGTTTTAAAACAACAGAACTGATTGCTTTGGTATCAAGGGGGTGCTATAATACAAGGACATCGAGAGCTTTATATAGGGTCGAGAGGCAGAGCGAGTATCTTTTGCCTCTTAGCAGGACCGTTTAACCTTTTGTTTTTTCAACAAAGTAAATAAGTAGAATGTTTCTTTAATAATAAAACTCATTCTTAAAGATATTCCTTTCTGTTAGTGAAAATAACGTTACTTCTACAGGAGTAAGAATAACTGAGGATCCCTTAATCTTATCCGGACTGGGAAAAAATCCCCAACTTTTCCTGTAGAAGACCCTGCTGCAGTACCTTAAGCATCTACACTAAGCTTTTACGCATAAAATACATTTAGTTTTGTCAATTTATCGAAGTTATAACTTAGAATTTGTTTATTTTTCTTGTTTTATTAAACAAAAATCATTATAACTGTAAAGGAGAACATTGAAAACTTCCGCTTAGTTATCAAGTAACATAGAATTTGATACTTCTTTTAGTCATATTACTTTCAACAGTTATGTACGGACAATATTATGTAATAAGTTTACATAAAGTATTCATTACCAGAAATTTAAATAAACAATTAAATATTATTTATATTTAGCTGATAACGATGAAAAATAAAATTATGTTTGTGTTTTATAATAATTCAACGTGAACGTGTTTTTCATGCAATCAATTAAAAAAATGACCCGACAATTGGTATCATCATAATTTTTCCACGGAATAAACTTTCTGAAGATGGAAATTATTTCTTGTTAAAGATAATCTCTTATGTAAAATGTTGGAGAGTAATCAAAAAAGGTATTTACCTGATTTTTTAAATTTATGACGCTTCTGATACTAATACTATATTTCTGGGTTAATATGTATTTGCCTATTATACTTGTTTTTTAAAATCCATAAAATTAATTTATAAAATATGTTATGTGGATAATAATTTATGCTTTCTTACGAAATTAATTATACATTTTAATTTGTGTCAAGAAATATACAAAATTCTAAAATAATAGGATTAAAATTTTATATAACACATATTACTTAATTATGGATTATATAAATTATTAACATAAACATAATTACATGAACTAACATAATATAAACATTATATGAATTTTATAAACTATTTTATAAATTTTTATTTGATACATACAGGTTATTTACATTATATACTGTATATTTATATACAACATAAACATATGTATCAATATAAATTATATATATTTCAAATGGATTTTTAATGAGTTTATTCCCCGTCTGTTAAAAAATATTTATTTCTCGGGATTTTTCACTTTATATTTAAACAGTAAAGATTTCTTAATTACTACACTATTTCTAATTAAAAGCTTTTTTCAATTTTAATAAAATCAGTATAAATGCCGAAAAGCATTTAGCTAATTTTGAGAAATTTATATTTATTAAATGCTTTGAAAATCATAATTATTTAATGAATACTGTATTTGGCAAACTTTATATGAATTTACTGCAATTATTTAAAGTTTAAAGTTTGAAAGTGATATTACACAGTTTATCTATAACAATTATACATATCTAATGCCAATACTGTTCCTATTATTTTCGTTAATATATATGAATATTGGAAATTAATTTAACATCTCATTTAAATCTTTTTATTATTTACAGTTTCGTTTTTATTTTTAGAAGGTTAAATTAAAATTTTTATTACAAAACTTATTTAATTAAAAAAATATATATAAATATATTCGTTGGATAATTGGAAAGAAGGAAGGAAGGAAGAAAAAAATTTTTAAATAAATTCGTCAGGTAGAGGGAAGTAAGGAAGGAAAAAAAAAATTCTAAATTTAACTTCCCTATGTCTAGACAGACCTTGACCTTGATCCTGACCTTTAAATGCAGGTTTTTAAAAATACATTTAATCCGAAGTGATAAGCATTTAATTATAATAAACTATTTTTAATTGTTATAAGATATAAATATTTAAACAATAAATATTTAATTAGTTTTTTAAGCTTAAAAACTAGTATCTTGACAATATTTAAATAACTCAGGAAAAGCTTTGAAAATTTTTAAATTTAGAAGAAACGCAAGAAAAAAAAAAAAAAACAAGTTTAAGGTAATGCTTTAAAGTTTCTGAGATTATGAGTCATAAAATCGGTTCGCAGCTTCTGTTACAGGCGAGAGAATTTACGGCTCCCGAAGTTAGGAAAGCCAGTTTTTTCCATTAGTGGAAAAAAGAGAGAGGCTCCCCGACGTTAGGGAGAAAGTTTACAAAGAAATAGCGTTCCAATAAAGAATTACCGTTATCGCTTTGGCAGTTATTTTCAATACCACGTGATTATTGAAAGGAAGATGCTTAGAAAATCACAACGTCATCGTGGGACTTGTAAAAAATATCCAACCTGCAGGAATTCAATCGTGCGCTTTTCTATTTCTAATCTATGCAACACTGTTTAAGATTGAATAAATTACGAATTTTAACACTTACTTTTAGACAAGAGAAGACAGTAAATTTTTTATGACAAAATTTTTTCTTACTGATCAAAGATAAAGGTGAGAAAAATGAATATTCAGGTCAGAGATGATAAAAAATAAAAAATTAGGAAAATGTATATAAACATGTTTTCTTATTTTTAAATATTAATGGAATTTAAATCGTAAACTGAATATTTATTTAATTTATTAGATTTTATATTAATAATTTAAAATTGTAATTTGCTGTTAATGCTAAAATATCTTTTAAAAAATATATTAATAATATAGTATAAGAATTTATTTTTAAAATACAAAGTCTTCAAAAAGAATGCTACCATTTTAAATTACTTTAATTACGCTAATAATTATCTAAGTAAGCAATGTACATTAATCCATAGAGTAACAGTTCGAGTTTCATTTACATTATTAAAAGTATCTCGTTTACTATCTATAAGAAGATCGGTAAACAAAAATGGCGACTCCGCAATAAAGAAGGCATTTTGTATTCTACAATTCGCAAAGTTGGAATTAGTCATCATTGCGCAACAGAATAATCTGTAGAATTGTGGTTGCTGTGGGAGGAGTGACAACAGATACGCGGTAGCGAGTACGGGAAGAATTCGAATATCGTGTTGCGTGGTGCACACATTGAGAAATTGGAATTTGGACAGTTTTCCAACGTTTTAATGTACATTATAATGTTCTCGGATAACAATTAACACAATTATAACAATTTAAAATGGTAAAATTCTTTTTGGCTGTGGGCTCAAATGGAGAGATATTTTAATTTCTTGTAGATCTACTGTATATAATTTTTGATTTACTGTTATTGATCAAAATTATTAGCGAGATATTACCGTTATCAGATTGTCTTTTATACATTAAATTTCATACAAATGAGTTTATAAAATATTAATTATAATTAAATTGATTTATAAATTTGAAATAAATCAGTAACGTATAATTAAAAGAATTTTTAAAATTTTAGTTGTAATATTATTATAATTTTTTATTATTGAGAATTTTGAGAATATTTTTTATTGATTTTGAGTGTGGCTGTTTGCGCTCGTTTATGAAAGTATCGTGAAAATTTTTAATTTTTAATACTCATAATATTTTTTTAGGATTTTTGTAATCTTATAATTTTATTTACTTAGACAATTTCTTATATTTAAAATTAGAAAACAATTATAAATACAAAGAATTTAAATCATAAAAGGGAGTGATTAGGTTAGATATTGCGAATTGAAATAAGTATCTTTTATTATATAGGTTTTAATAGATATTAATTTGGACTTGTAAAACATTTTATTCAACACATTTTAGTTGTAATTTGTAACCCGTAAACCGTGTAACAACTATAAGCGTTTTATGCAACTGGGTCCTGATAGTATCCGTGTGTAATTTAGATCCGTGCTAATAAAGCCTATTCGTAGGCTTTATTGGCGGTGAGGCGAATCTAAATTAATGAAGATATGATCATAATACTGTAGGCAAAATTCAATTTATTCCATTATTACCAGCTGCACTCGCAGTTAAATGGAATTTTAGCTATTTTTATAAGCATTATAGCTCACAAATTCAATGTTAATTTTTAATAAATTTTAATTTCACATTTTGAAAAAAGCTTTAAAAATTCTTAGGAAATTTTTCTGTTTCTATTCTATTTTTCATTTATTTGGCTTTGCTTGAATTAGTTTTAGTTTAAATCTGTACAAGCTTCTGGAAAGTCATTTATCATTTGTACATTTTGTATTTAAAATATTGATGACGTCTAACATTGATTCATTCATAATTATGTTATAGACGCCATTAATTAAAAGGTTCACATTTCAAAATTATTATTTTATATTTTTTAGATTGACCATTTGTCACGTCATACGATTAATAAATATTCTAATACATTTTTCTATGAAATTTTTCAATTTCAGATCAAAGGTAGTAAAGATTGTGAGTATGGCCGTCGACAGGAGAGATGGAGATTTCCCACGGGACCGTACTGGTTTCTACTTCTATAAAATTAACATTATTTTTAATAAAAAAGAAACATAATCTTTAAGATTACTTTTTATTGATAAATAAACATTTTACGTATTTTATTTGATAAAAAAATTAAATAAATAAAAGGCCAACTGCTGCCGGGCCACTTTCTATGGCCCTGCTTGTAATAACAATTTTCGACAGGTTCAAAAAGTAATTTTTAGAATTTTCATTTCTTGACGAAAAGAAATATAACACGATTTAATAAAACATTCACCAACAAAATGAACACACAGAGTTCAAATTTTCAAAGAAATGTCAAAATAAAATATGAAAAATAATGTTTCTTCTTTTATAAACGGCAGTAATGAAGTCGTTAAGAAATTCATATATTTGTATATTTAAATTATTTAAATATTTATACTGTATTTATTTAATTAATAATCGACTATCTGATTATGTTAAAACAAAGAAACAATCTGAAAATATAAGTTGTAACGTAATATACGGTATAAACCAAATCAATATTTAAAGAAAAATACATATTAATTTTTTAAAACTCTTTCCACTCTGTGGATAGTAAGGTCTCAATTCAGCAAGCTTATTACGGCTTCAGTCCTTTTTATAATAGGAATTCCGGGTGATGAGGGCCAAACCTGACATATCTAGACGGATCGCTTCCCTTCTCGACCTTCCGAATTCGATCCCGGTCCCCCGAAACAGTAGGCTGACACCATAACCACTCGGCCATCGGACCGTCGTTACTTTTTGATTAGATTTTAATTTATTCTTTGAGCAAATGCTGTAAAGTAATTTACAGGTTACGGTTTTGAGATATTTGTATTTTAAAAACAAATATTTTGAAACTATGAAACCATTATGAAACTGAATTCGAGACGTTTTTGCGCCGGGCAAGACTGTCCTTTTTCCTTTTCTCAATGACTGCGTTCAGCAGACTCAACAGTTCTGGAGCTGTTGAGTATCTTTCTGCTAAACGCCCTGTACAGTAGCGGCGTTTCGGAACATTTGGTATTTTTATGTCATTTAATAGTCTTTCATTTATGCTATCTTTCGGTAGCTGCAACTGATCAATGATGACTGCTTCCTGTCTCAACGTATACGTCATTCATCGTTCGGCAGATCCATATTGTTACGTAACAGCTATCGATTGAAACACCTTTGTTCAGTTACAACTGTCGAGTCTGCCGAACGCAGCCAATTGTCTTATTCGATCGGATGGTATTTGTCACGCATTTATACGATTTGGAAACTATAATTTTGTCGTCCCGTTAATAAACTTACATTTAAATAACATAAATATATATATTTATATATTTATATGATATTCATAAATATATAAAAATATGTTTTTCGCATTTTTAGTTTGTTATTTTTTAACGCTTTTTTTGTTATAAAAATATAACTTGCTTTTTAATTTACAAACATATATTATTTACGAACGATATTTGATACATTATCACGAATTAACATTTTTACTTTAATAATTATAAACTCAATACTTTTCAAATTGTAGATGTCGCCGTTGTTCTGATATTATCCCATGTGCTTTAGATAGTTGGCATGGTAAGTAGACGATATTTTATTCGCGAATTTTGCAAATTATTAATATTAAACTAACTCCCACAAATTTAATTTATGCCGACAATTTGATGTTATTTTTGAGATTCTGAGATGAATGTATTGTTTCAGATCAATTTTTGCTAGTAAGACATTTTATTTTAAAGGTTTATAGTAAATTATGCGAGATATAAAATGGAAGTCACGTAAAAGTACCCGGTACAGGATTCCAGCATTACACATTTTTTCTTAATTTTGCTTTCTGTTGGACATCACTGGGTAGAATTGCAGTTCTGAATAGGAGTAAAATTTGGGGGGGTCCAAATCTCCCAAATTTTACTCCTGTGGGCGTGGTCTAGGGCACAATTGCAGCTCTGGTAAGGTCCCGGCTGTCTCATTTAGACCTGCATTTGTATCCATCAGGAGTACTCTGCCAAAGTTGTAAGCCATCTCTAAATGAACATAAAGGGGATGGTATTTGTTTATAGGCCACACACCAACGTTCTCACTTAATTTTATTTACAATAGAGACACATTCTAGACATGTTCAAAACACATAGAATATTTGAGAGGCCGCTCGTGTTTCTATCGTAAATAAAACTAAGAGCGAGAATATTGGTGTATGGCTTATAATCAAATACAACCAATCATTAGTCATTAATAGTACAAAATTATATTTATAACTTACATATATCAGAAAAGGACCTTTTAAAATTACAAAAGAAAACAATCTTTTGAACATTAAATTAGTAGATTTAAATTTATAAATAATTTGCACATCTTTTTTGAAATTTAATCTTTCTCATAATATCATATCAGTCTACCCAGCATTTGGGCAGATTGATTCATCTTGTGAGTATTTTGATTTATTCAAAATTACTGAATTACTGAACATTGTAAGAAGATAAAATTAGATAAAAAATTAACTCTACAGATACCTAAGATACAAGCGAGAAAATTAAACACAAAGTGCAAACATTTTCGTCGTTTAACAATGGCAAAAACATTCGCTGGTATCTGTAGAGTTCATTTTTTATCTAATAATAACCAGTTGTTAAGTAGCAGTTGTCAGAAGATAAAATCATTTATAATTGTATATATATAAGCAGTTTTTTTAGCATCCTAAAAACTACCATAATTTGAAGCTGCTTTACAATATCCAAAATGTGTACATTTGATATTTTCAGAAAATATGAATTTCAAATTCTGGTTTTCTTAAGAAATATTATATTTTGATGGACTATATGAGCCATTTATTTTGAAAGTGAGACAAGTCCATTTTTGAAAAAAAAAAAAAAAATGAAAATTATGTTAACAATAGATAAAACTTAGCATGATCTTTTTGGCTGGAAACAATATATAGTCAAAATAATTCAGAATCCTTAAAATTTTGACAATGGAAGTTTTGGTGATTAATAGTATTAATAATATGTTTATTTTAAAAGTAGTGCAAGTCCATCTTGGATTGAAATTATTATGCTAGCTGAATATTTTATAGTATAATTTAGCTCTGGTAAAGTTTAGTAATATTGGCAACACTGAAAACCTAAAAATATTATATTTGTGCATTTTTTTATTCAATTCAGTGTACATATAGCAGTGTAAAAGTCATTTAAAATTGTTGATTTATCACCACCACAAGGAAGACCAGGTAATTTTAGAAATATGAAATTATCATAAAACTACACACAAAATACCATGAAAACCAGTAAAAGGAGTACAAGTTATTTATATAAATATTTTCATCTGTAACAAACATCATGAAGTTGAACATTGTCATAAGGAAAACAGGACAAGCTGTTGAATACATTTAAATCCAAAGTTTCAAAGTAGTTCAAAGCATGCATGTCCAACTGTCTAATTTATCTAGGTAACATGTATCATGTTACCTAGATAAATTAAAACTTGTAAATTTAAGATTAAATTGTAAAAAAAGAAAATAATAATAATAAAAACACACAAAATGGAAGTTCTAAGGGAGTTTAAAACATTACCTCCATGCTGTAGAGAGCATATCTTTCTCTCTAAAGTTGAGCTCCTTCTGGTTTTTAATAGCATTATATATCTCAAGCACTTATAAACATTTCAAATATGTTTGATGTAATAAATGAATCTCGTTAAAATGTATCTGCATGTCACTGTCCAAAGAATATACTGCAAGTGCCGTGTTGGACCATTTCTTACTGATGTCATGTACATGTTCCTTTACTCTTAAAATGAGGCTTCTGGCAGTTGCTCTGATGTATACTAAAGAGTTATCCACTTGAGTATCATGTAATGAATAGCATATATATATATATATACACACCTGGTGTGTAGTACTCATCCACAGGATCTTTATTATTCTCAGAATGTTATTCAAAAGGTATGAATAGGCTGTAAGGGTTGCTGTTGAAGGATTTTAGAAAAGCTTCCAAATCAGGTTTGTGTTGCCATACAATAAGAATATCATCAACATATGTAGAATACAAAAGAATGAGGTTCAAAAGATCTGGTAAGATTTTGCCAAACAGCAGGATATTATAGTCTTCTGGGATCGGGTGTTGATCATCAAGGCTACAAGATCCAAGCAAGCCGTGAAACATCTAGAAAAATTAGAAATTCACAAGGCGCAATTGAACACAAACTGTATTAATCATAGGGATGCTGACTGATTGTCATCGATGTGGAAATTCTTCTATGATGATTTGACGTAGTTTATATAAGCGGTAAAGTTAATTATGATAATTTTTACTGGATGTATATATTTTATTTTATTTCTTTATTTCGTTTTAATTAATTTATATAGTTTTCGTGATTATTTAAGCGTGTTAAGTGTTAATGTAAATTTATGTAACTGCCTTTTGAATTTTATTTTACGTAATTTAGAATTCTTTGTTTGATTCAGAATGATAACTGAGGATGATCACTTAAAGCATTCAAAAACATTTTTAAGATATTAAAAACAATTTGCTGGAATGTTTAAAGGTTTTGTTTTTATTTATATTGATTATAGTTCCAGTAAGAAAGTATTTTATTTAGATCTGGTAAGATTGTATTTCCCAGTTTCCTCACCACCATTTCAGATAATGTCTCTAATAGCACACTATCCCCTCTTTTTTTTTTTTTTTTTTTTTTACTGAAGATGTCACTGATCTTAACAATTGGTGATGGCATTGACAAATTTACATTGGTTTTTCAGTAGTTGCTAAAGAATTAATATATCATTTTTTCTGCACATCTAGTATTTAGTTGTTGTATGTATATACAGTAAAACCTGTCTAAAACAGAATCTGAATAAAATGGAAACCTGCCTAAATGGAAAAAATTCTTCAGAATGGAATGATTTTCTATATTAAATTCTATTACAAGCCAGAAACCTGTCCAACATGGAAATGGAAGAGGCTAAAGAACGAAAAGTCAACATAGCATACAGAAGGTGCAGCACGTTGTTCGATATCTGTCCAACATGGGAATGAATAATGTAACTTAAACTGAATAAAATGGAAACTTATGATTCCACTTATAGACAAATAAATAAAATTGTCTCTAGATATAATGGTCATCACAAAGTGTGACAAATTGTATTTCTGAGAACTGTTTTGAACCTTGTCAGAGAAACAAAAATCATATGCAAGAGGACATAGGGACAAGTCTTTAATATTAGTCTGTGTCGGAATTAACCAGGAATGTAATCAAATACTTTCAAGAATTGGAATGAGTTTCCAAGCATTGAGTTCTCAAGAACTTGATTCTTGGAAAAAGCAATAAATGTAAGTTGTGAAAACAATGAGAATAAGGTAACATAGTGCTGCCAGTTTACCTTGTAAGGGATAGATAGTAACTAACTAGTTCTGAGTTTTTGAGAATAACTTGATTTGATAATTACAGAGGTTGAAGTAAGCAATTAATTACAGAAGTAAAATTCCTTGAGAAGTCAGATTATAGAATAACTTAGTTTAAATTAACAAATCTGTTTGACATTTATCTGGTGTAGTCTCTAAATATATGTAAAGATTAAAAAAGAAAGAAAAAAAAAGCTAAAACCTGTTCAAAATGGTAAACTTCCCAAACTTTATCTGCCCTAACCAACATGACATTATTGTGACGTATCCATCGAGTCGTGCGTTTAAGATTCTTTCTGAATTGGAGCACCTCTCTAGAATCCTTATTATTTATTATTTTGATGGGTAGCCACATTCAAAATAATAAATAATAAGGATTCTAGAGAGGTGCTCCAATTCAGAAAGAATCTTAAACGCACGACTCGATGGATACGTCACAATAATGTCACGTTGGTTAGGGCAGATAAAGCCAGAATATTAGTGATTATGAAGAGAGACACATATGAGAAAGGCCTTTGTGAGTACACAGAGGCAACACGTTGCAATGAGATGGAAAATAATACGATAGATAAGTTACAGTCAAGAGTTAAACGCTTTGCTTCTACGAAGTTGGCTACCAGATTAAATATGAAGAACATTGTAATGGACGCACCCGATGCCCCAAAATTATTTGCCTTTGCTAAAACACATAAGGTAGGGAAACAGCTATGCCCAGTGGTGGATAGGGCCAAAGCTCCCACACGAAAGCTCGAAGAAGCGGTACATAAATTCTTACTCCACACCTTGAAGGGTACCAATTTTCAATCACCAACACATTGGATTTAATAGAGCAACTCAGGGTTTATACATCACCGTGTTATGTTACAGTATTGGATTTTAGATCCTTATACCCTTCGATTGAACTTTCCCCATGCTTTTGCACCATAAGGGACTTTCTCTTTAAAAAATTGGACACCAATGAACTACAACATCAAGCACTAGAATTGGCCCATTTAATTTGTTACAACTCTGTTTTTCAATTTAAAGAAAGGTTGTACTCACAAACAAGAGGTGTCCCCATGGGTGGTTCGGTATCTGGGGATTTATGTGAGCTAGTCATTAGGCAATTAGAAAACAGGACTCTGCCTAATTTCCTCCACAACATTATCCTGTACAAAAGATATGTCGACGACATCATCATCA